ATACTTACCAGTAGGAGGGCCATATATGATTCTTGAATGGTTCACATGGATTTGGAACTGACTTGGCTGATTTGACTTGGGACTTGAAATTGTTTCCTTTAAGATCAGGGGATGTCACTGGGACAAGATCATTATTTGAGAAAGTGTCACTAAGTCAGATGAGCATCTAGGCTCACAAAAAAGAAAATATCTATAGCAAAGGAACTAGAGTCTAGTTCACCTTTTCACTAGCAAAAGCTATTCTTTGGTTTTATTTATACCCCAAAGCAAGAACATTTCTAATATAAGCAAGTATTTGCTCCAAAAGCCAGAGACAAATAAGATTAGGGTTCAGAGGAACTCAGAGCAAAAACACCATAGGATTCAATTAGGCAGACACTGATACAAAAACTCTGTTGCTTTAAATCCACTGGACACAATTGAAGGAACCTTGCAGAGAAAATTAAAACTTAGGAAGTGAGGGTCTTTGTTTCCTGCATTTCATTACCATATAGCCCAGTGATCAGGGCCTTTAGTGAGGCCTTTCTCCAGATACAACTCAGTGAAGAAAGGAAACAAGCAGAGATCTAGCAAGAGGAAACTTGTTAAACTATGGCAAGGGTGTCAAACTCATTAGACTAGACCAGTAATACAGGTTTGCAGGCTGAATGAGTAGTGCTGGGCCAGTCTGGCCCATGCTGCAGTCTGAGACCCACAGCAACACCACAGGCTAGATAATAAGGACCCCATGGGCCACCACCATATAATAATAATACAGTGCAAATAAATTTAGACACTGGCTAAGCTTTCAAGGCTGCAATAAAGAAGTGCCTCATTTCAGGAACTAAGAAAAATAAAAGAAAAAAAATCTAGCATCAAGACAGCTAAGGACCCAAAGAGACTAAACATCAGTGGATCTTATTCCCTCAGTGCTCCACTCTAAGAAAGTATCTGCTCATTTAGTATACAACAAATGCAATAGGGACAGTGAAATTTTAAAAAGATGCTAGGGCTAATGGTTAAAGAAGCTGTTTTGGGCAGAAAAAGATAAAACTTATGGCTATGATTTGGGGAAAATTTCCCAAATAGAGCTAATTTCTATTTGTGGTACCAGAGCTATGAAAGTTCACTAGAATGAAGGCAAAGATATTTTATTGCAGAAGGAAGGTGCGAAAAGGAATTTAGCTTCTCTGATGGATAAGTCTGAATAGGAAAGGATTTTGTTATATGCAAAGCAAAGAAACTGATTAAGAGACCTTGATGTTTCTACAGAGGCAGCAAGACTGCTCAGTTATCTGGAAAGCTGTTTTCAGATTCCAAAGCATACTACTAAAATTAGTTATCTAATATCATTCATGGATCTTATTTAACTACAGCAACCTTTGTTAATTTTTCCACTGGTGAAATCAGAGCACAGAGAGTATGGCAAAAGCACTGGCAGCTATAGAATAACAGGGGCACAGATAACAAGGATCTCTGGAAGTAATCCTTTCAAATAAATAACAAAAAAAGAAACATTAAAAGCTGATTCATCTCCAGGCCCAGGGAATGACAACAGTGAACAAATCTGGACATAACATCAGTTCAATCACTGATAAGGGGGAGAGCTGGGATGGAGTGCTGCCACCTAACACCCCATGCTGCTGCTGTTCTGCCTCTTGCAGGGAGCAGGGTGGGAGAGCCCAGCTCTGTGTGGTCCTCAGCCTGGCTTCAGAATCATCATGGCACTCCGCCATGCTTGGAACGCACTGATTGGCTGTTTCCATCAGCCAATCAGAGTGCAAATAAAGCATTCGGGAAGGACAGATAGACTTAGGCTTTTATAATATTAGAATGTTAAGAATCATGAACCAAAAAATGACAAAGCCGTAAGTGAAATACATAGCGCCCGAGCGATGGAGTAACATGAGAGGGATAGGAGTGAGGAGGTGAATGCAACTAGGGTACAGTAAATACAATGTTAGCCCCAGGGGGCACAGTGCCAAGATCAGGCCAGACCCTGGGTGGTGGTGGCACTAGCCCCAGGTTAGCGGGTGTGCTCCAGGAAAGGGGATCGGCCAAACATGAGGCACCCCCAGGGAGGCACTCAGAGCCTGGAAGGTGGTCTGGCACAGTGAGGTGGGTGGGTCAGCGCAGGAGCACCCCCTACTGGCCTGTCACAGGCCCAATCTAGCACATAGCTCACATTCACCTGTTCTGGCCCACAGGCCAGGCCGCATAATTCATCCAGCTTGCAGCCCTGAACTGCTCGGCATCACTGGTTTATTTATTTACACTATGGAATTTGCAGAAGGTTCAAAGGGAGAGCTTATGGGAAAAAAACATGCACGGCAAAGTCAGTAATACAGAAACGGTTGAAGAGCGCTAGCAATTCTGGGTCTGCTATGTTGTACTTGATGTAACGTACCAGGTATTCATAGATTCATAGATTGTAGAGTCGGAAGGGACCACAAAGGATCATCATGTCCGACCCCCCGCCCCTGGCAGGAAAGAGGACCGAGGTCAGATGACCCCAGCCAGGTGACTGTCTAGCCTCCTCTTGAAGACCTCCAAGCTAGGTGATAGCACCACCTCTCTTGGAAGCCCATTCCAGATCCTGGCCACCCTTACTGTGAAAAATTTCTTCCTAATATCTAACTTAAATCCACTCCCAACTAGTTTACACCCGTTATTCCTAGTCACTCCCTGGGTCGCCTTAGTAAACAGCGCTTCCCCTATTCCCCGTTGACCTCCCCTAATAAATTTATAGGCGGCCACAAGATCTCCCCTCAGCCATCTCTTGTGAAGGCCGAAGAGATTCAGCTCTCTCAACCTCCCCCCATAGGGTCTATCATGAAGGCCACTAATCATGTGAGTGGCCCTCCTCTGGACCCTCTCCAGATTCCCCACGTCCCTCTTGAAGTGCGGCGTCCAAAACTGGACACAGTACTCCAACTGCGGCCTGACCAGTGCCGCATAGAGGGGGAGCATCACCTCCTTTGTTCTATTAGTCATGCACCTGCTAATGCATGACAAGGTGCGATTGGCCTTGTTGATGGCCTCGTTACACTGCCAGCTCATGTTCATCTTGGAGTCAGTTATGACTCCAAGATCCCTCTCTGCCTCCGAATTGCTGAGAAGGACACTCCCCAACCTATAGGTGTGCTGGGGGTTCCTCCTTCCCAGGTGGAGTACCTTACATTTATCTTTATCAAATTGCATCCTATTTCTCTCTGCCCATTGATCCAACC